TAAGTTTATTTTCAGTAGCATGTTGATATATGGCTATCTGAAAACCTGTTTCAGTATTCTATGTTATCGGAATAAACTGAAGCAGGTAATCAGTTAACAAAAAAAATTCCAGCACAAAATAATGTAAGTACTAAAAGAAAATCTAACTACTATTAAACCATTTTAATAAAATAAAAATAAAACATTTATAGTTCAAACATGACCCTAAACCATAACAAAAATTAAATTTTTATACAGGAGCCGTACAAAAACTGGCCTTATATTTTTTTACGGAAAATGCAACAAATCACGCCGTGTAATTTAAGTAGGTCATGGGCTTGCAAAAAATAAAAAATTCACCCAAGTGTCTGCTTCCTATCCTAGCTGACTAGCATTCTCTTTGTACATTACATAAAAACAAAGCTTGAACATCTTTCCATTTCATGCATATGTTACATTCTATAGTACCATAAACATATTTTTATGCTACTAAGTTTGCTTGCTTAACACCACATAGTTGATCTCGGATTACTTTTGATTAGCTGTTTTAAGCTCTCCGAATTCGTTTTCATAAGTCTTCCAGATATGCTCATATTGCAAATTTCCTGTTAATTTATCAAAATTGAATTCAGGGATGTCCTAGCAAAATTTTTCAGAAAATGCCAGCGCACAAAATGCCAGTGCACAAAAAAGCGCTGACAGGATGGTTGTTTTTATAGCCTACGCGGTTTAAAAAATTCATTTTTTCCTGCTATTTAAATTAAAATAAAAATAGCAAAAAGTATTTTATATAGCTTTGAATAAATATTAGATAAAATAATTTTTAATAAAATTGACAAAAAAAGCCATTTTTAATAAAAGGTGAAAAAATGCACAAGAAATGTTGCAATTCAAGTCAAAAGGCTTATTATTTTGGCAAGATGCTTTTTAATGCGCATGTCAAAGTTTTTGTGGCCGTGTTAACAAGCGCGAAAAGACCCTGACCCTAACCCTAACGCAAAAGCTCTGGCTAAATGGAGAGGACTGAATAACCTAAGTATTTTTAATTTAAATAAATTTTGTTGCAAGATATTTCAATTAAGTAGATTAACATTAAGATTAATTATTTTGCAGATTAACATTAAGAATGAAATAATAGGGGACAAAACATGTTTAAAAATCTTTTTAATAATGTTTTGTAGAATATAAAAGTTATTTGTACATTATATTAAAAAGAATTAAATCGAAAAAAAAAGTATCCGTAATATTTCAATTATGATCAACAAGAGCTTGATTTCTTTTTTTATGTCATAAACAAAATTTTAAATGCTGCTTTAATTGCATCTCATTCATGACAAGACTGACATTTTGATCGTGGATTGTGGATTGATTGCATCACCGCATAACTCTAACAATGAAAATAATCGAATAGGAAACCCCTCTTGAAGATCTGAAAACAAAAAATAAAATAGACAAAAATAGCAATATAGAAAATATATAGCTGCTTTGAATTATATGAAATTTTACCTGACTGGATAGACTTTGTTTATGAAGTTCAAAACACAAAATTTGTAAAAAAAGTATTTTATTTTTAATTTTTATAATTCTTACAATTATGCCATTTAGAAGGTATACGATGTCGTAAAATAATTCCACTTAAAAGGTATACAAAGTCATAAAATAATGCCACTTAAAAGGTATACGAAGTCATAAAATAATGGCACTGAAAATGTAAACAAAGTCGTAAAATAATGGCACTTAAATGCCAAGTCGTAAAATAAGATAGTAATTGCGGTAAGTGGTAAAAAGCATTTTAAGTTATTTATAAAGTGATTAGTGTTATTTATAAAGTGTTATTTACTCACAGTAAATTCTTGTTCTTAATATCATATAATAACTAAGGCTATCGATGGGTACCTAGGTACTCACTCGATGCTTTATTAATGCCCAAGTAGCATTAAATGACGGGTAACTGTCGTTTGATAAGTTTTAAATTCATTTCATCAATTTTTAAAGTTTAAAATCATTAATCGTAGTAGGGTAGAGCGGGGTATATCGGGACAGCGGGGCATAACAGGACAGTTATGTCTGAAGTCTTATATCTCAGCTAAAAATAATTTTTTTTTTTAATTTTTTTTTTGGATAAAACATTTTAAATTATTGTGCTTCATTAATGCAAAAAAAGTTTAATTTTAGAAATAAAATTTGCGTATTTTCTTAAGCGATACAGCGACAAAAGATTTATCTTGAGCTCTTGCAAATTTGCTTTATTTATAAAATGTTTATGTTTTTCAGACAGTATTTTTTATCCTCTTTTAGAATCTGGTTTTATTTTTAATCTAAAATATTATTTTTTTTATTTAGAAAATCAATTTTAGCAATAAATTTAAAAAAATTCTTATTTTTATAACTTAACTTTAATTATTAATAGTGTTTAATGTAAACAAAGAAGGTAAGAAATTATATTAGAAAGATCAATCATCCAAAACGGGATGAAATTCAGTTTTAGCTGTAAGTAAAAAGGATTAGAAAAGATTAGAAAATTAGAAAAGGTGCTGGTACATATGGCATATTTGAGTTTGCTCTACATTGGCATATTGCTAATAAGCCAGCTCATCAAAATGTTGCCAAATAGTTTCAGGATATTTTTTTTGTGATTTATGTGATCCATAAAATCTTTTGTTTTATTTTAAATTTAGTAGCAGTTACCAATTTAATAATATATAAGTTAGAGTAGGGCAGAGGTATTTATTTTATTAAAAAAAACACAGAAAAAATAATTTTTTTATCTGTTATTTGTTTTTTGTGGTGTATGGGTGTCACTGTGGACCAGAGATGAGTTTAGGTTTAATGGAGTGTCACTCAAGTGAAACCTTTTTTATTTAAGGGTATTTGTATTTAACAATAAAAAAGAGATTTTTTAAAATCCGAATAAATTGCTAAGGGTCATAAATGGGGCAAAAGGGTAAACACAAGGGGCATAAGCCCATTTATGTGTGCTAGTTGCCAATTACAAAAAAAAAAGTTGTATCAAGAGTATTTGTTTCATAAAAATAGAAAATAGCGTTTTTAAAGTTAAAAAAAAATGCTAATGGTTACAAATAGGGCAAAGGGTAAAATTGAGGGGGACATAAGCCCATTTTACCATTTTAGGTGCCCGTTAAATTTTTCTTTTAAAAATAAATGTCAAATAAGTTAAACAAAACATTAAGCAACAAAAAAAATTTAAATTTTTATAATATTACTGTAAATATTTTACATAATCCAATAAAAAGTGAAAAATTGTTCTTCCGGGTCTTGAGCAGTATGTCAAAGTTAATGATAAATTAAACTCTTCTTCCATTAAGGCTTATTCAAAGTTGATTCACGCATTGAGTATGCTTTTTTAAAAGTGTAACTTTAGTCTGTGTAGGTTTATGTCTAATATAAACAGTCCATACTGTTCGGAAAACTGACAATAAATTGTTCAGCAAACTTGGATGTTGGAAACCTTGGTTCAATAGGAAAGAATTTTTTATTAAAGCATATAATAAATTGTTCTTATTCAAAAAAGTTAGAACAAAACCAGAGTTTTTTACTATTTTAATGTATTTTATACACTAAAATATAGATCTATGAGGAAACTAAGATGTAAAGTAGTATTTGAATACTAATTTCTGTCTATTCAAGACAGTTTGCTCAACAATGTGGAGAGTTTATTTTAAATTTGAACACACATGAAGAAGCTTTAAACCTAAAGAAGAATTCTGATGTTACTTATAATGGAAGAAGAGTTTGATTTATCATTAACTTTGACATACTGCTCAAGACCCGGAAGAACAGTTATTCACTTTTTGTTGGATTATGTAAAATATTTACAGTAATATAAAAATTAATTTTTTTTTGTTGCCTAATATTTTGTTTAACTTATTTGACATTTGTTTTTAAAAGAAAAATTTAACGGGCACCTAAAATGGTAAAATGGGCTTATGTCCCCCTCAATTTTACCCTTGGCCTCATTTGTGACCCTTAGCATTTTTTTTAACTTTAAAAACGCTATTTTCTATTTTTATGAAACAAATACTCTTGATTAAAAATTTTTTTTTTTTTTTTTGTAATTTGCAACTAGCACACATAAATGGGCTTATGCTCCCCTTGTGTTTACCCTTTTGCCCCATTTATGACCCTTAGCAATTTATTCGGATTTTAAAAAATTTCTTTTTTATTGATATAATACAAATACTCTTAAATAAAAAAGGTTTCACTTGAGTGACACTCCATTAAACCTAAACTCATCTCTGGTCCACAGTGGTGTATGGGCATGTAGTTTCTATGGGTATGTTACTTTTTTGAGAGTTTAATGTCTGAATTTAGTCGATAGATTTTTAGCCTTTATTTTTCATTATTCTCAAAGCCTTACAATTGAAAAATAACTGCTGCTTTTCAACTGTTCCGTTTTGCCCCACCTATTTGCAAATGTAAAAGTTTTGCTAGTCTAGAGTTTCGCTACTTTGGTTGTCATAACTTATTTTTAGAAATTTTTTTTTTATTTTTTTTATTTTCTTATATCAATGAATTTAAGTAAATTTATAAAAAACAGTGTTAACTATGAATAGTTTATCTGCAACTTTTTGTTTCTTAAGTGTTCCTATATGCCCCGCTCTACCCTATAACAATTGAATAATGTTGAATTGTGAAAAAAGATCTTAAGATCATGTTGTTACTATTTCTTTATTATCATCAGAATTTTTGGAAAATTATTTGAGTTTCTGATTCAGTTACCAACTTATTATTCGTCTATTATTATTATTATTATTATTATTATTATTATTATTATTATTATTATTATTATTATTATTATTATTATTATTATTATTCATATGGGTATTCCCAGTTCATTCGACGGGTACCCGGGCAGACATTTTTACAACTTTCGTCAGCTTTAGTAATAACATTAGGGTATCAATTTTATAAAACGTATTATTTCAATATTTTTTGTTTATATTATTCTTAAAGCGGACTATGGGTAGTAAATTAAAAATTGGAATTATTTTCTTTTTTAGGGAGTCGATGTTCTTGCCGTAATTAACATTGCTAAATGGATCAAAACGATTTTGTCACGTTCACGTGTCCAACAATAATTTTTAAAATTGTTTTACTCAAGATATTTTTATTTTTTCCTAGAAAAACTCCTTTTTTTCCTGATTTATTTCAACATCGCTTTTGTCAAATTTTATTAAATTTATATTTATAAGTATTTATGAATAAAAACTCTAGTAATATTATTTCCATATTATAACCGCGTATTACAATATTATACATACTTATAGTTAAATACACATACTGTTGTTAAATAAACATTTTGATCTTTGCTTTTTATGTTTTGGTTTTTGATTTTTAAAGAGGAAACTTTTAATATTTAAAAAATATATAACAGCTATTTTACAACCATTGTTTCAATTTATACCTATCTCCTCCATATATTAACTATTGTTTCAGTTCTCAGATTAAATATTATTACATTGGCAAGTGTTTTCTTTTTTTTAAACAAAAGAATTTCTTTTTATCGTTTAGAAGCAGATTTGGCTTAGTTTGGTTACTTTGCTATTCAGAATAAGAACGAAAACATCTTTTGAACTGTAAACAAACAAGTTTGTTAAATCAAATAATCAAATCAGTTTGTAAGTTTCATTAAAGGACACATCATCCAACCTTTTGTCAATTTCTCATCTGATCTTGGGGGATTTAATCAATTTCCATTCATACTTCATAAGTTAAATTCATGTTGGTTTGAAACTCTTGCATGAAGACTTTAACCTTCAGCATTTTTGGTCATATTTTTAGTTGTCCTTTTATTAATGGCTTCGGTTTTATAGTACGCATGCGCACAAATGATTTAAATTCATTAAAATCATCCGCGTGCGTCATTCAAAATCCGACAACTTTATTAATTTTAGCTTTCGGACATCAATGGCGACTTTTAATCATTACTTATAAATAGTAAAAAAAAGGTAAAAAAAGAACTTTAGTATACTTTGCCACCTTGCTAAGTTTAGTAAATGTACCACACTGCAAACTCCGCAATACAAATTTGTTTTAAGCAAAAAAAAAGTCTTACAACATGAAAAAATAATTCCTCCGCCACATAAGGATATTTACTCTTGTTTCAAGTATTTTTTTTGCTTAAAATAAGATTATTTATTTCTAATTTGAAAAACTATTAAAAACATTTTTTTTTTGTTAGGTTTTTTAAGAACTTTGGTACTTCAATTACGAATTTTTTTTTTAATTTTTTTTTCTTCAGTTGTAATAATAATTATTTCGAGAATTTTTGTTTTTTTAAAAAACAATTTTTCTTGTTTCAAGAAGGTTTTCTCTTATTGGGAGAAATATTTCTGAACCAATGAATACTATCGTCACATCAGAGAAATACGGATATTTCTCAAAAACCTGTTGCAATTCTGTCAACTGGACTTTAATTTACTTAGGTCCTTCCTTTTGTAGATAAAGCATGCAGACACGATGCAGCTATATTTACGTTAGTATCCCTCTCATACTATTCCTGCTTAAGAGCAGCTTCAAGTTGTAAAATTATTTCATCAATGTATTTTAACAGATTTTTAAAAAATGATAAAAACTTTTTATATAGTATTAGTGTAATAATTATAATGTAATGCAATAACAATACAATTATTATAGTTTGTAATCAATTCACAATCCTCAAAATTAGGAAAAATCAGGTCAGCAAAAAATAAAACAATAACGAAGCTTGGCAGTATCATTTTATGAGCACTTTTACATTATAAAGTAAAATTATATTTTCTCAGAATTGAGAATTATTATATTTTCTCAGAATTGAAAAAATCTAAAGTTATATAAACAAAGTATAAAATAACACAAAAGGCTTGTTTCTCAAGTGCTTACAAACTGGATATAAAATATTTTTAATCCCACTGAATATATGATAAAATTAGATATAAATTAATATTGATAAAATTAGATACAAAATAAATATTGATACAATTAGATATAAAGTAAAGTAAAATAACTGATTACGATTATAAGAGTTAAAATGAACAGTGCATATAATAAGTAAATTGCAAAGCATGCTAAACAAAATTAATGTAAATATAAGGAAAATAGTTTACCTGTAACTGATGAAAATATTGATGGTGCGTGAATAGGAGCTAGATTGCATCCCTCTACAATAAATAAAAATAATAAATTTTTAAAAAATAAGACAAATAATTTTTTCAAAGAATAGAATGATTTCTTTATGTTATCTATGTAAAGTGAATTTACTTTTGACAGATAGTGATAAACTCAACTCATTAACACTCTAAATCAAAGTAAATCTTTTTTAAATTTAGCGCATTTCCCAGTAACAAGTCGTGTTGATGTGACGACATAACCAGTATGTTATGTACTATATATATTTAACCACATATGACATATATGACATAACCACTATGTTATGTATAGTATAAGTAAACCATTATTTTACTAAATAGCATTTTTATTTGGGAGTAGTATATTTTCTAAAAATTTGAATCAGCCAAAATTCATTTAGTTTTTAACAAAGTGTAAAGTTGCCAAAACTGTCTATCAATGAAAATAAAATAAAGCGAGTAAATTATACAAAGTTTTTAAGAGTAATATTTGATAAGAACCTATCATGGAGAAGCCGTATTAGTCTCAATGAGACAAAAATAACTTCTGTTATGAGTGTTTCTTTTTCTTCATTAAAAATGTATCAAAATAAATCTTTTTTCTTCATTATAAATCGCCTAAAATGTTTTAATTTAGTCTTAATTATTGTCATCTCTTCTACGCTAATATTATTTGGGCAAACACACATAAAACTAAATTAAAAAGAATACAGAGCTATTAAAACCACGCATGTAAAGTAATTAACTATTTAAACAGGTTAGAAAACACCCTTGCCCTAAAATGAAATACATAAATGTCCTAGATATATCAAAACTTAATTCGCTTCAAATATTATTACTTATGCATAAATATAAAAATAGCTTACTGCCAAAAGTATTTTTTGATATTTTTACATCGGCTTTTTCATAAAAATACAATCTTTGGTCAAATACCAACCATAACTAGTGTAGATTAAAATCGCAAAGGTCAAAATTTTCAAATATAAGCCAAGGCCCGTTATTATGAAATCAATTGAAAAATCCATGGTAAAAAAACTAAAATCTTTAATACTCTTGATTTCAATTTTTTTTAAGTTGAAATATGAACAAAAACATATTATGAAAAAGAAAATTTCTTCAAAAAATAAAAAAAGCTATTTTAAAATGCTGAGTCAGCATAAAAATACACAAAAAGTGAGTTATGCAAAACAGCTATTACTTATAAACTACTCATGCAATCAAGCTAAAAGTTTTACAAATTGGAGAAAACACATAGATTAAGTGCCTGAACTAGGATTTTTTTATATTTTTATGTACTTTCAAAATGGCTGCTATATTAGTGAATATTCCAAATATTTGACAAAAACTCGATAGGGAAATACAAATTTGTCACTAAAAAAAATAATTCTGTTGAAGATCTTAGTTCAGGCACTACTTTAAAGTATAATAAACAACTCCTGAAAATTTGAATATTTAACTATATGCAGATCCAGAGCAATAGTTGCTCTAAGATTACTACATTCAAAAATAGAAAAAATTCAGAAAAATGCAAAAGAAATTTAGTATTTAATAATTTCCTGCAGAATATGACTCTAAATCTTCAGTTTCTTTTTCGTTGTCTATGAAACCTTTTCTACGAGCTCTTAATTAAATTTTTTAAAAAAATTTTTTAAAAAAATAATTAAATAAAGAAAGTTTAAGTTTCTTAGAGCTTCTAGATGATGTGACCGTATCAATATTATTTACAACATGGTTTTTCTGGAAGTGAGGAAGTACAAGTGTCTCGATTGCCACAATATAAACGTTTAAATTTTCTTCTTATTTTATTTCTCTTGTTAGCCATTTAAAGCTGTTCAACAAATAAGATATCTTCAGACAGGTTTTTAAATATGCTAATTTAATAGTTTTGAAAAACTAACTCAATAACTCAAATATAACTCACTCACAAGATTTAATAGTTATAGTAATTTACGAATAAAACAAATAAAATACAAATAACAGAATAGTTAAAAGCATAGTAGATATATTTTAAGTAGCACAGACTTTAATTTTTTTTATTTTGTAGAAGATAAAAGATAAAAATTGACAAGCTGTTTTGGTTGCTATGCGCGTTGCTATGAATAGCAATTGAGATAAGATGTCAAATCTATTACTTTTAATAGTGTTTTAATGTAAATAATGTATAAAAACCACTTTCCTCTTAAAGATAGGTAGTTTATCTAATAAAAACAATTTAAAAAAAAAATTCATTTTTTTTTGCATTTTTTTACCATGGATCCACCTTAAAAGATTTGAAAAGCAATTTCGCTTCTAAACGACAATTGAAATTGCATCTCCTTAATTTCTGACATAAATGTATTTATTTATATATTTTTTTAAAGTTCCATATATTTTATATATACACTACCGTTCATAAATATTCGGCATTAACTTTTTTTTAAAATGCTATTTTTTATTTAACTATTTTTTATGTTTATTTTTTCACTATTAGATAATTTGAAAGTATTTTGATGAAAATGCTTTGATAAAAATCATAAGAATAATAAAAATTTTAAACTGGGAAAAAACTACATAAAAAATGGATCACCAATGACTGTAAACGCGGACCAACGTGCCGAAATTTCAAATCTTTGGTTTCAAAATGAGATTGTTTGTCTGGGAAAAAAATCATTGAACTTATGATAAATAATGTGTATTATTGATTGCAAAACATAGTGGATGTAGTGTTAAGGTATTTTGGTTAGAATGCCACAGGTTACTTTGTAAATGTAGAGGGAGTAATAACAAAAGTAGTTTACTCGTAAAAGTAGTTTATTTAAAAAAATTATGCTTCGGAAAGATGGGTTAATGAGAAGCTGCTCTTTTTTTAAAAGAAAAATGACTTTAAGCTTAAATCTGAAACATATTTTTCAAAAACTTGTTTAGGTTATTTGACTGAGTTCGAGACAAATTTGTCAAGTAGAATACCAAGAATATGTATGGCGTTTATTGTCGAAACAAGATTGTTCAACTGAGTTCGAAACAAATTTGTTAAGTAAAAA